CCCCCTTAAACTCTCCCCACGGTTACTATATGTTACTCTGCCCACTGACAGGCAACATGATCCCCCGTGTACGTCTGTGATATAAATAAAGAATACACTTTTCCATGGGTGCAACACAGCAAAGCATGCATGCTTACAGTAAACAAAAACCAAACAATGGCTGCTCTCAGGTCAGGGAGAACATTCAGATGTAACCATTAAACCCCCGAATCAGTCCTAAAAACTACGAACTGCAGGCATTAGCATTAGCACATAATGCAGCCAAGCAAATAACACGTGTGTACCAAAAATAAACCCCAGCAGCCACTAATATTAGACATGGCAGACATTCTGAGTATTTATGTATATCAAGTAAGGAAATTGAATAGTTAAAGCAACAGTTTTTTTACCCGCAATGTCGTTTCTTCAAGCAATTTTTCACATTTTCCTCTATGTGGAAAAACATAATTGTTCTGGTTTGTAAAATGTATTTTATGAATCCCAATTTGAGTCTTTTTTTAAGGTATTAGGAGATAATAATTACTGTGAAGCAGTCAGAGCCCTTTCCTTCTCTGAGGTAGCTCTCCCATCCTGGCTGTAAAACATAATAAAAATGAAAGGGCCAACTAGTTTCTGATGTCACATTATACGGTTTGCTTCATATCTTGTTTCCACATTTCTGTTTCTACATCAAGGTTACTCCAGGGAACCGTCACACAACCTTACTGTGAGAGTGTGCGTGTGCGTGTGTGTGTGTGGTAACAGAAGGCGGGGCTGTTCAAAGGAAACTGAGATTATAACAGAGACTAGATCCAGGCTGAGGTTTTATTTTAGGTCGTAGAACAAAATGTCCTCAGCTTGCATTCACCACAGAACGTATATATCCAAACACACATTCAGAAGACCACTGACTTCCAGATGAGGGAACAGGAAGTGCCGACTCAAATTTAAGGAATAGTTTTTTCATGAAATGTCTGTTTTGTTGTGTACTTGTGGATGTGTTGACATGTGAGCAGCCTTGTGATTTCCTCCACAGACCCTCAGGCAGATTCATCCACATACTGCAGTAAGCTCTGAAAACAGACTCCAAAGTGCATCTTGGAACGGCCAACATAAATATACAGCCAACTAATTTGGGTTGACAAGCTGTCAATCAAGTCTCAATGGACAATACCCACAAAGATCGGAAAATGTAAATTGCTAAACTCTTATTGTGTTGTAATGAGAGATGGTGGAGCATTCAGATGCAGCGACTCGCCCCTCTCTCTTAATATAAACAATAATTTAATTTTAACACATTAAATAAATCTGTAACTGTAGTTCCTTTACCTCTTGTAAGTTTAATTAACTAATGCCTGTTATTTCTGTATTCTCTTTGCTGCTGCTACTGTTTTTAATTACAGTTTTATCCATCGCTGTTTTTATGTATTTGTATATATTTGAAACTGCATAGAGAGAAGCCGGTGAGATAAAATTGTGTATAATAACAATAAAGCTCTTGTGATAACTTGGTATTTATATATGTATGGTCTGTATGAAAGTAACTTCACAACTAGATTCTACTCTAATCAGTGGCGATTCTAGAGTCTGTGGGGACCCTAGGCAAACATTCACTGGGGGCCCCTCGAACCAGCCCCCCCCCCCCCCCGGAGCGGTGCAGGGACACGAAACTTTACTTATGAAGCAGCTTTTGACGGCGCGCTATGCATGGGGGCACCCTAGAGGGGGTTTCCAGACATGTCATTGCAGCAAATTAAAGGGGGTTTCAGGTTGTCGTTGCTGTGGACCTTTTCAAATCGACCTTCTTTGAGGGCCCCCCTTCTGGTCCGGGGCCCCAGTTGCCTGCCTTGCCTGCACCCCAGACTCTAATGTATTGTTTATGTTGTCAGAAGTATTGTTAGAGCCAGTAGCATGACGTCTGTAGTCAAGTATGTATAAAGGACTACAATTCCCAGGGTGCCAGACTCTGAAGAGACAGAGATGGGCAAACTGTCAGAAAGACGCAGTCGAGGCAGTTTTTTTAACGGTTAAAGTTATACAAAGAAAGAAAGAAAGACTACCTTTAAAGTCATTCATTATTTAATTGGAGTTCTGCCTCTTTTGTTTGATTTGTTTTGCTTATTGTAAAGAACTGTTTTCTTTGTTGAAATGTGTGAAAAGTGTGTTATCTTATTTGCAGTTAACGCAAAACACAGCATCAACACACCACCGGAGGCCAAGCGAGTCCTTTAATCTGTGAGTAAAACAAACGCGTCGGAAATGTCTGTAAAAGGACATCGAGACCGGGGTGTTTGCTTTGGTTGCCTGGGAGACAATCTGTCAGTCCAGTGTTTTATAGTGCATGCATACCCACAATGAAGACTCTTTTAACTTTATTTATAACTTGGTATGCATTTAACTCAACTCCACAACTTCATTCATTGAACTCTAATGTATTTCTATAGTCAGAAATGTATCCATAATTCATGTAAGAGTGTCTGATACTGAACCGGTACAAATAGGGAAGGAAGCAGAGTTCCTGTTGTTAGTGACTCATCTGCTTTTCATCGTGACTTATTTTCTGCAGACAAGAAAGCTCGTATCACCATGTTTAACTCCTAAAATACCAGATGTTTTATTTCTGAGATCACATAATGAGAGTGTCGTAAGCAGCACATAATCCGGCTCGGTCTATATCCGGCTCCTCGTGGACTCCTGACACAAAGAGAGGAAAAAGGACTCTCAACATGTGATACTCTGTCGACCACAGAGAGACAAACTGACTGAGATAACACAACCTCGTAACCGTTTTATAAATGACCCACTTATACGTTACGGAGAAGCTTTGTCCAATTCTGATAAAATGTGGCTTCAAGGGACAAAGAAAGCATCCAAAAGTCAGAAGCTGTGCTGCTTTCACGAGGAAAATATCAGCCGAAATGTCAAGTAGAGCTCAGTCGAAATATTAGAGCCCCTGCATTTCGCTGAAATATAGGGCCTAAAAGGCAAGAACACAGTACTTTATATACTGTAGTACAACATTACTGCTACTACTACCTATAATAAGCAATACATATTATCTAAAAACTAGAAGTATGTGTCTTTAATTCAATCTGTGTGTTCAGGAGTGATACAGGATGACGTAAACAGGAAACAGAACTGTGTTCCCCTACAATTACATTAAAACAGATGTAATGAGATTACTAATACATATTTTTGGGGACAACTAGCAGGATTACAGTGTTACTAAAACCCTAAAAAGAGCATATAGTGTCTGTTGTAAAAGGATAATATTGTACTTCGTTGTTGTACTGTTCTGAAGCTGTACTGTTCTCAAGTACAATTCTGAGGTACTTTTACTTCACTACCTGTTTTAGGCATTTTTTAACTGTTTACTCCACTACATTCATTTTACAAAATGAGTTACTTGCTACTTTGCAGCTATGGATTTATAATACAGAATATAAAATCAACCAGTAATTCATTATGTATATTGTTTTACTACGTTTACGACATACTCTGTTAAAGTAAAAGTAGAAGTACTCAGATCTTGTACTTGAGTAAAAGTAGAAGTACCAGAGTGTAAGAATACTCTGTTACCATTTACTCTGAATTGTAGTGGAGTAGAAGAACAAGGTAATATAAAATGTAAATACTCAAGTAAAGTACAAGTACCTCAAAATTGTACTCAAGTAAATCTACTTAGTTACTTTACATCACTGAGTAATTGTAACGGAACTGTGTGTGTGTGTGTGTGTGTGTGTGTGTGTGTGTGTGTGTGTGTGTGTGTGTGTGCTGGGTGGGGTGCTGCAGGCCCCTCCTTGATACTCACGATATGTATGCAGGATAGAGGAAGCCGATGAGGTTGCACAGCAGGGAGGCTCCGTACCCGATCACCAGGTACACCGAGATGATCCCGATCACAGCTGGAGGAACACACACCACATGTTACACACATACACACTCCTACACACACTACACACTGACAGAGAAACAAAGGTGGAGGAAGCTGGGTGCGATGTGTTTTTTCCACTCACCCACAGCGATGTAGGTCCGGCTGACTCCAGTCTTCGCCTCTATCTTCGCCAGAGTTTCTGTCATGAAGTTCTTCTCATGGAGGAACTTCTCGAACCTGTCTTTGAGCCCCTGCGCCATGGCTGCTCTTTTTATTCTCAACGATGCTGTTTGTGAGGAGAAGAGGATCAAACTGCGACAGCCTGCAGACACACTGTTTAAAGACGCGTCACCGCACACCGGAAGTACTGCCTCCAGCTGCAGCCTTCAAAATAAAAGCCTCACAGTCTTTGTCTTTGTTCCACACCTAGAGATGGGAGAAGTACTCAGATCTAGTACTTGAGAAAAAGTAGAAGTACTAAAATATTGTACTTGAGTAAAAGTAGAAGTACTCAGATCTTGTCCTTGAGTAAAAGTAGAAGTACCAGAGTGTAAGAATACTCTGTTACAGTAAAAGACCTACATTCAAAATGCTCCTCAAGTAAAAGTAGAAAGTATTATCATCAAAATATAGTGAAAGTAGCGACAGTAAAAGTAGTCATTGTGCAGAATGGTCCATTTCAGAATAATATATATGATATGTTTTATAATGATTGATCATGAAAGTGTTCTCAAAGCTGGTAAAGGTGCAGCTAGTTTGAATGACTTTGTATACTGCAGGGTAGCTTGTGGATTTACTCCAGGTGGAACTAAAGTCTGATTTAACACTTGATTATATTTCACATCATTCATCCACATCTGTAAAGTAACTACAGGTATTAAATACATGTAGTGGAGTAGAAGTACACCATGTACCTCTGAAATGTAGTGGGGTAGAAGTACACGGTAGCATAACATTTAAATACTCAAGTAAAGTACCTCAACTTGAGTAAATGTACTTAGTTACTTTCCACCACTGCACCTATTTTGTTAGCTTAGTCAAAGTTTCCTGACCCAGACATGTCGAGCTGGACAGATTCATTTGCATAACTTTGAGATCATTTTCACTTTATGCAAATACAGAACCCCTCTAACGCACTAAAACACAAACGACTGCTTCTCCTGCTCTCCAGAGGAAATAAACTGAACGAGTTGAGACCACCTCCATCACAGGATCTGCTCCACGTGGTCCTTTACTTCCTTTTTCCTGATATTCTGATCACATATTGAATTCTTCCTCAGCAGATGGGCTTTGTCCAGTATCTCTAAGACGACTGAACAAACCTGGCTTGGGAACCAGACAATAAAGGTGACGGTACATTGTCGCCAAAAGAATAATAAGATGCACTGAAAGCTATTCACGAGAGGAAAGATATCAAAACCTTCCAAGTCAGAAACAGCAGCTCATCCCTGCACATGGGGGTCTTCTCACATATTTCCATCAATCATTTGTTATTTGTTTTCACCCTCTTTGTGCCTTATGCCCTGTTTATCTAATATCATTCCATTTCCTTGTATATAGACTCTTCTTGCACTATTTCCATTTCTTACTTTCACATGTCAAACATTCTCTTGCACTATTTATCTGTATATATATATATATATATATATATGTTGCGTTCCTTATTAGACTAACGAGGCAACTTCTATTTGCTTATCTCTTCTGCTTTATTATCTCCCACACAAACCAAAATCCTTCTGGTGACTAGCGCTTCCTGCGAGCCTATATACGAATATGACACCCGTCCGTCGCGGCTCTATAGTAACGAACTCGATCACTACGCCGGGCTCGATTGTTGATCAGATAGATATTCAGCTTCATCTCTGCGTTGACACAATAATTTTTAGTCTCGCAATCAATGCCTCTAACGTCGTCCACACAAACAATCGTACTTATGTCTTCAATGAGTACTACTCTATGCGTCCTACTCAACAACTTCTGTACCGCTCTTATCGACCTCTCGCGCGTCGGACATACTGTACCTGCGTCACATATCCGTGTGCTCCCCTGAAATAAACAAGATTCTATTAAATAGGAAAGAACATAAGCCCTGAGCCCTAGCCAAAGTTTCCACAGATATACATCTCCTACATAAACTCGAGTCTGACTATCACAGAATCGCGTTTAGAAAGACATGTCCGCGTTTTATTGTTCTTACTAACCTAGTAATGTAGCACGACAGCGCAAGCGCAAGATAAATGTATCGATCTACGTGTTTATACACAACGACGCGCTTTCCTCTTCCGCTGTTCGGCCCACTGCGAAAGTTTTGGCGATGTTAGACATCGGTCACACTCAGACCGTAGGTAGCCAGATCCACACCTTCTACCGCTCGGCGCCGCGAGTCGACCATGCCACACGCGCGTCCTCCGAAGTCTCGACCCCTTACACACTCTCTATGACTGCCAGACAACGGTATCCCACCGCGCTGCAGCGTCTCTCGTCGGCCGAAGGATTCCGGAAGCCCTCACGGCCGCGACGCGACGAAAGAAGTTACGTGCGCGAGGTATCGTTTGCTACAGCCGCGTCTTCTGAGCTTTGCAGTCTGACTTGTTATCGCAGAGCCGAGACTGCAGCGCTAACATCCACCTTCCCCTCCGCGCCGCGTGTGAGGAGTTCTCGTTGTTTCTATCAGAGTCGCTCCAACAGTGAGCGCGTCGAGACCTGATAATTAACGACTTAGCCGCTTTGAATTCCCGTTCCGCGGTCGTACGATAGCGCGTCGGCTGAGTATACCTGATCTGCTGATGTCCTCGAGACGCCGTACAGAGCCCATACGGATAGTTTGCTTAGGCAGTCCCTCGACTACAATGCCCGGCTGTCTCACCATACATCCCTCTCACCTCGGCACGCGCGCGACGCGCTTCTGCGATTATCATGCAAACATAGTCAACATGTGTTGGCTACCTCTTGAATTGTTCGTGTCACAGGTGCTTCTCTGGTCTGTATGACCCTAGACCAGAAGGCTTCTCCATGTCTCCTTCGAACCTCGTGGGCGGGTACTAACAACAACAGACCAGTCGAACTCCAAAGGCCGCGCAACCAAATACTTCCGGTCGTGCGTTTGCCAATGGCCAGTCTGCGTTTCTACTGCGCCGTGGGTCAGCCCTGAGAACCGTCACTTTTATGGCCTCGATTTGGCCTTCTTTGGCAAGTCTTGGACTTTTCGAGATAGTGCCTCGAATGGCCTCAACGAACCACAACTTACCTCCATTATCTCTCAAAGTCAACCGTTTTTTTTTCGTCGTGTCACGTCGCTATCTCCGGCAAAGAGTTACAGCTCATTTGGACGACGTCTCGTGACAAGGTTCAATAGATGCAGTGCTCACCGGCGTCTTACGACCCGAAAATTTTGTCAGGAAGCGCGGTGAGCTACTGCATCATATGAACTTTATCCCGAGACGTCGTCCAAATGAAGCTGTACTCTTTGCCGGTGTCAAGTTCAAGTTCGAAATAACAGTACTCGTGTAATCGATGTCACATCTATACCGTTACTTTGGTGAATTCAGTGTCGATCCGAGAGGAGGTTGTCACGTTTGTGATATATATAATATATATA